TGTGTTTTAAAACACCTTCCCCAAACCTTTCCAGGCCCCGATTTCGATCAGAACCTCTACTCGGGCGGCCGGCCGGTCTTCCCATGATGGTTGGATGTAGATCACCCCTCCCCCTACCCTAAAAATGGGTCCGGTCCCAAAAGAACAATAGGTCCTTTGTTGGTGAACTCTCATTTCCCTACTACTGAGGAGAGAGAAAAGAGAAAGAAGAAAGAAATAGCTTTTGCAAAAATAATACTAAGGCCCCGTCCACACGTGTCCGGAAATTTTTGTATCCGTATCCGAAAATTTTCGAAAACGGTTTCTGGAGTGGAAATTTTCGAATACGCTCCGAATACGGATTCGTGTGGACGGTCGTATCCGCAAATGTTCGTATACGCTGACGTAAACACCATTTTGCGCATGCTCAATGAGAAAAACTATCCTTCAAAGGGACTAGGTACTAGCGTGCATCAGGGCGGATCAAGATACGTGTGGACGGGGCCTAAAACTAAAGAGCGTTTTCACTCACGTGAGAAGGCAGCCATAAACAATAGAAACTTTCTGCACAGTATTTGCATAAAAATAGAGTTCAATTCCCGGAGGATAGAAAATGTATTGTTTTGGTACCCCATAATGGCCGCTGTGACGTCACGTGAAAGCGCTCTATTGACAAATTACAAAGCCTATCAGACCATGTAAAGGAAACCACAGAATCACCACGTGATCTGATCATGTGACTAGGAAGAAAAGTAGGACTCTAACAATTCATAGACGGATGTAAAGACTACTGAATCGTAGTGTATTCCATCAAGTGTTCCTTCAGGATAGGATGAGCTCAAATGAAACACGTCCAGAATTGGAATACCGTTAGCGCACATCACGGAGTTGGCATACGCGTTGTATAGCTTGATACGCTAAAAAAGAAAGAAAATTTCTTATAGAGCTTAACCCCTCTAGCCTCTAAAAGTCCCCAGTCTGAGGCGCCAAAAATTAAAAAGTCAACAGCTTCTGATAAGCCCCCAACTCTCGGCCTGCCTTTGAAAGTCATTTTACCTAACAAAAGTAATTCTGAATTTCCAAATATCAGGAACATTATTTATTAAGCCCCCATGACGTCACCCGTGTCTGGATGATGGTTATATAGTTTAGAGCAGTTTTCGTATGACTGTGAAAAGCTCACGGCACGAACACGGTCGTGACTCAGCAAGGGTTACGCCAGACCAATCACATTGCACGAGAATTTACTCTCCATCCAATCAAATACCCGGAACACGGCATAAACACGTCGCGGACATGGTCACGCCAGAGTCACGGCAATGCCAGACCAATCACATTGCGCGAGAAAAAATCAGCCAGTAGACCTTATTCGTGGTGTGACAATATTTTCCCAATTCAGCGTGACAAACCTCTGGGGGAATGAGGAGCTATTGTTTTGAAACTCGTCGAGATATCATCGTTATTCCTTTCGTATCCTTTGGGATACTCATGAATTTTTTCGAAGAGTAAAAACAAAAGAAAATGAATCCCCTGGAGGTTTGTCACGCTGAATTGGGAAAATATTGTCACACCGCGAATAAGGTCTATTAAAATTCTTGAAAGCATCACGGTCACGGCATGTCACGCTTACGGCACTGACCTTTTCACAGTCATGCGTTGAAACTGCTCTATTGACCATGGCATACACTTACGTGTTTTGTGGTGTATCTGCGGAACGCACCCATTATGTCACCACTCTGTTGATGAATGGCTGTTGTAGTCTTCCACACTGGTTTGCCAGGGTAGGAGTTCTTGATTTCTTTTACAAATTCTTGAATAACTGTTTTGTAGGTTTTGAAACTTGTTGTCTGGTAAATATATAAATAATAATTCACGATATGTTGAGATCTGATTTCATCAGGGTCAAAACTTGACACCTCATTATCGTTAACAAATCATCCTAACTCCACCCCCCCCCCAACAAACTTAAAGGTTACATGGAAGGGGGTACAAAGGGCACCCTAGGATGTATCTTGCATATAGAGCTTGAAGCTGTTGCTGAAAGAATCTTATGAACATCATTACCAGCCTGCAATAAGGTATCACTGAGCTATCCAGCTTGGTACCAATCAGCTGAATGAATCTCATTACCAGCCTACCCAGGCAAACACTGCCCGTCACGTGCTATCAACCAGAGAGTATTATATTGCTTGGTATCAATCAGCTAAATGAATCTCATGAATCTCATTAACAGTCTACAATCACAGTCAAACACTGCCCATAATGTGCTATCAACCAGAGAGTATTCTATTGCTTGGCATCAATAAGCTGAATGAATCTCATGAATCTCATTACCAGCCTACAATGACAGGCAAACATTGCCCGTCATGTGCTATCAACCAGAGAGTATTCTATTGCTTGGCATCAATAAGCTGAATGAATCTTATTACCAGCTTACAATGACAGCAAACACTGCCCACCATGCTCAATCATTTTTGTACATTTCTATTGACAATCTTTTGCTATTCAGCCGTCAAAAATTCACATAGGACCGGAAATGACATCTTTTGACACCAAGGACCTTTGCAGGGACTTTAACGATGAGTGGCTTCGTTACCTTGACATAATGTGCTCCTGCATTGAACAGAAATGCGCTGTCTGCATCCATGGTGGGTTCATTAAGAACATTTTTGAAGAAAACCATCACCTTGGTAACGTTCAGCACCATCTCGTCACATGTTTCTTTCTGAAATAAACCACACAGTAAAAATCAGTGTTTAAAGTAGTTTGTGTATGTATCATTCCCTAGAGTATCATTTCTTTGTCTAACGGTTGCGCATGAGAAGACATGCACATGATTATGGAAACAATTCAAACCAATAATTTTATTGTCAAGAGAATGACACCACGTGGTCTGCAATAGTTAAATGATTCATCCTGATTAACGATAAGAACCATTTGCCTGTATTGCCGGTTTTCACATGAGGTCATCAAAACATCAAAATCTAAACTATAGATCGTATAAAGGCATTTCTCAAGTATGTTTTAGAAATCAGTGTTATAAGTCACAAGAACAAATCTCGAGTCATCTCGATATTTGGTTCTCGAGTTATGAAGGGTGAGTTTGTGTCACGCAATGCCGTCACGTCTACCTAAATAGCGATCAAAATAGTAAAATAATTTACTCTACTTAAAAGATTTTCCCTTAAACACGTTTTAAAGATCTATTTAAGGTATATTTAAGTGAAATGCAGTCAAAAATATTAAAAATTCCATCATCTTAAGCCTTTGAAATTTCGTCCGCCATGATGGTGTACCAACTTGGAACACGAAGATGGCCGCTCCATACATTTTAACCAAAAATTGCGTCATGTTTACTCGCCTCTAGTTCCGCAACGAAATGCTTTGCAGCCTCGAACTTTGGCCACAATATGTAGTTTTGACCGCTTTACAAGATTATGAAATTTTTATTTCATTATAATGCGAATTTACGCTTTTGAAATTCATGATGACGTAGGTGAAAACCAAGAATAGGCCTGAACAGGGTACATGATGTACACGATATTTGTACTCAAGGTAGACCACAATACACTTGGAAAAAAAGTTTTTTATTCCTTAACAGAGAAGTTTGGGAAACTGAGACTGTGCTAATCTGCCTCTCACAGACTGAGCAAAGCATTTGGGGAGACATCAAAATATTTTTTCTGTTTTGTTATGTTTTTTTTTAAAAAAAAAAAAAAAAAAAAAAAAAAAACCCAAAAAAAAAAAAAAAAAAAAAAAAAACCTTTGAGTAGTCATAATGTATATATAGGCCACCCATCCAGGTACTAACCCACTCAACCGGGCTTGACTCAGTGTCTTGGAAGCCCACGTTTCGTCCACTGGACCATAGTTTCAATAAATTAGCAAAACAAAAGCCGTGAAAACAATGCACCGGATAGATTAGACTTTTTGACATTAGTTTTTCAACCGATTCCGTGCGTGGCAGAGATGCAAGGGATTAGCCGATATGGTCTGGGGGCCGGCTGGTCTCTCCCCTGTTGCTTCGGCTAGAACATTTTCTTGCGTAATTCGTGCACCCAAGGGCAGAAGGATTTAATCGCCGTCAGGTCCGAAGTCCATACGACGCCCTAGCTCTGCGGATGTCTCGGGGGTATGGCAAAGTAGAATCGATTTTTTTAAAAATTTATGTCTGTGGACTTAGGTTCAAGTCCCACCCTATTAAAATTTTTAAAGTTTTTTTTTCTTCGTTTTGAAATTGCTCCTTGCTTTCAAACGGAAGTGTGCTGTTTGGACGACTCTGCATATACAATAATATTTTTAATGGCACGAATTTGTCAGAAAAAAAAAAAAATTCTTACCACTTCGTATAAAGTCTTTGGATAAATCCAGTTATAGCTAACAGAACATGATTTGAATACTTTTGAGCACAGTGTCCTTTTAGGGTCCGAGATAAGGGCCTCGTAGAAGTAGTAGCTTAATGAGTCCCCATAGATCCAGAAAGTTCCTTTTCCAACAGCGTGCCTCGAGGTCCCTTTGCTAAGCGGGCTCTGCTTTGGATAATCTGTAATTATAATAATGGGTGATAATAAATTACGTTGATAAGAAAATCACTTCGCGTCGTCGAAGACATGGTAGAAAGACAACGAAAGGCGGGAGGCGCCTCTAGAATCTTTTATTTACGTGTGAGCCAGGTCTCGGGGAAACTGTGAGTTGATCTGTGAGTTAGCCATGCCCTGACTTAGATAAAATTGAACTAATTAAGATATAAGCCTCATTAATCAATGAAAGCCTCAGTTTACCTTGTAAAGTGATGTTCATGTATGGTAGCCAGTTTTTGCCGACCCATCGTCCATATCCATCCCACATCACTGTACACTTGATGTCACACAGTCGATTAGCAAGACGCATGTTGTTCTGTTGTTCTTCAGCCAACCAAGAAAATATAAACATACATGTCTTTTGTCCTTGTACATGTGACGTCATAGACGCCATGTTGGATGACTTGAACAAAAGATTTGGTCTTGGTTTCTTTTGTTATGTCAACCAACATGGTGGCCATGTCCTTTGTTTTTTACTCGATTCTTACGAGAAGGGATACATAACAACTTTAAATACCAATGAAGAGGTTATGAAATATTCCTACCTACTTTGTTCCATCTTTCCCACGGAACGTCGAATTCAGGAAAAAGCCCTTCCTTGGTTTTGATTGGTTTGTTGATGTAAGTCTTGAGCTCAGCAAATACTTCACTGTCCAGCGATGAGTTCCTGTGTTTTCCAGAACAATGCGCTAGCAAAAATGAAAAAAGACATTGTACAGTAGTAAGTATTGCGTGTAACTAATGTAAATTCACCTCTCTTCCATCCCTGCGCTGAGTCTTTACTACTCTACTGAAATAGAATTCAATCGATAGAGCTGGAATTTAGAGATCGAGAAAGAAAAAAGCAGAGAACCCGGAGAATGTCCCTAAAACTACTGGAGAGAACTAAGAAAAAATTTTGACACATAACACCGAGTCCGGGAATGGAACCGAGCGCTTTCACTCCTACGACACTCATAACACACCTGAGGCCCTAGTTCGTTCCGTCGGATCTAATAGTCCCCTTCACAGTTCCCTGCGCCATCTTGAAAGGTAGCCATGCCTTTGCATTGAAGCGAGACGAACGGGGAGCTTGCAATGATAGAGACCTTTTTTTAACACCTTGGACAATTATTCACATGTCTCTATCATTGCAAGCTCACCGTTCGTCTCGCTTCAATGCAAAGGCATGGCTACCTTTCAAGATGGCGCAGGGAACTGTGAAGGGGACTATTGGAATTTATGAGTGGATTTTTTTCAAAGGGAGGAAAACCGGAGAACCTTGAGAGAAGCACCCAAAGTACGGGAGAGAATCGAACCAGTCCGGGAATGCAACCCGTGCGCCACCCGCGCTTTTCAAAGCAGATTTCATGTCTTTAAAGACTTACTGTTTTGAAACCATTCTATAGGTGGATCTCGCAGCCCATCACAAAGTGTATAATCCAGGGTTGCTACGACGTGGTATTTCCCCGGCTCAAGCACTAAGAACAGTGCTTCGTAAGTACCATCATTGTGGTCAAAAACCGTCGCAGACAGAGTTGATGGACCAATGAGCATGATTCTCCAGGCGTCTCCACCAATGGTCTTCTTCTGGTTTTTAGACGTGTATGTTTGGATGAAAAATCGACTGAATTCCCCAGCTGGGCGGACTTCAAGCTTGTTAATTTTACTATTCTCTACAATGGTTTTCAAGCTGAGAATAACAAGTAGTTGCAGGTTTTTATTTTTTAACGATATTTGTGTGCATATATTTTGTAGTTGACAATGGTGGCGTGCAACTTTACGGCGCTGTCTCTCGCCACCATGTAGTTCAAGCCTGTGGCTGCGCATGGGAATAGCAGATAGCAGAGTTGTACTTTATTGCCTTCAAAGGATTGTTTCAAGTCGAGACACAATAAATGTATAGGAATATAACAATAATCCCCTTCACAGTCCCCTGCGCCATCTTGAAATGTAGCTGTGCYTTTGCATTGAAGCGATACAAACGGTCACCATGCAATGATAGAGACCTTTTTTAACACCTTGGACAATTATTCACATGTCTCTATCATTGCAAGCTCACCGTTCGTCTCGCTTCGATGCAAAGGCACGGCTTCCTTTCGAGATGGCGCAGGGAACTGTGAAGGGGACTATTGATGGTAATATAGAATGCATTTAGCTTCTAGATACACGAACCACAGTGCTTTAGAACCACATTAAAGTCCACTGCCAGATTCGATCCTATTAATCTTGCCGGTTTGGGCAACTCCTATTAAACAATGTGTTATTGCAGGTTACTTGGTATACTAGTCTTGCATATCATTATACATCCTTGGGAACCCAGGAGGAAAATTTTGTCGCTCCTTTCTCGCCCACAGAAATGAGAAACGAGTAACTTTATCCCTGGGTTACCGGGATGATCATTATAATATCACCTCTCAGGATTTTGTGGTCATTACTAGTTATAATAAGGGTGTCTCCGTTTCAGGCCTTTTTATTTTCACTCTAAATCCACTCTAAATCTAAACTTCAAAATTCAATTTTAGACCTTACCCGTCAATGCTTTGTCGATAACTATTCGAACCAGAATTAAAATCTTTCAAACATGGATTCAAGAGGTTTGTCCAGTCAACCCTCAACTTTCTCTGGCGACACCAATCAGTCTTGAAATTTTGAAAGACATCACTGCTCGTCGTTTGAACAGCCAAAAAAACCGACAGTAGCCAAAACAACGGAGTCATTCTTTGAAAGTTTAACTAAATAATTATCAATGAATATAAAACATAAATACGTATTTCCTTCAAAATATTAGTTGGTTGGCTGTCCAGCAGATTTTAAACACAGAACTGTATTCAGACAGAGAAATTATTTTAGAAAATAATTAGTGAAGTATTTCAAGCGTTTTGATCAAATAATTTGCCATCATTTCATACTGAGGCGAATCTAAAGATAATAAACGACAGACAAGTAGTGAACAAGATATTTAACTGAGATAAACGCTCACCTGTGAGTACCAGTTAGTCTGAATTGACAGTTTATTAAGGTTGAGTGCACTTTGCCACTCCATCAGGACAGGCCTTCCCGCCCACAGGAACCGAATATTGTTCCTGTTAAGGTTCATAGATATGGATCTATTCGAAAAATGGCTGTTTCCAATTTGCATATTTCATAGGTTTTATGTCGACTCAAAAGGAATTAAACTAAGTTGTCAATCAAAAGAAGGCGGTTATATAAAACAGAATTCTGAGAAAAATTTAGAACAAGAAAGAAAGAAAAAAAGAAAGAAAGAAAGGAAGGAAG